CCCGCTCGCCGCAGGTATGACTCTGGTAACAGATACCTCCCCCAGGGTTGGGGAGCGCATCTATTGGGCCAACAAGCCCAAGGATATGGCCCCAGCATCAGTTTCGGGACTACCAGATCAATCGGCCCGAACTGAGAGCAGTGTACTTAGCACTACCACGCTTTCTACCTGTAGTTCAAAACCACAGAGTCCTGCTCCGCACAGGCAACGCAGCGGTGGTCTCCTTCAAGAAGGAGGGGGGACGCATTCCCCATCGTTGTCAGTCCTAGCGGAGCAAAATCCTCCTTTGCTGCCTGGAATACAATGTGGAGCTAACCGCACACCACCTTCCAGGGGTGAGGAACAGTCTGGCGACGCCCTTTCAGGGCGGCTCCGTCTCCAGAACACGGAGTGGCTGATACCCCAGTGGGTAGCCTCCAGGCTGTTTCGGCTGTGGGACGGTCCAAGGTTGGACAGTTTTGCCGCAACCCGAAACGCCAAGCTCCCGACGTACGTAACACTCCTGCTGACTCCAGGAGCCTGGGCCAGGGTCGCTTTGCTAGCCCCGTGGACCCTCATAGTTGTGTACGCCTTTCCTCCCTTCCCGCTAGTTCACCGGGCACCGGAGAAGCTTCGACAGGTGCACACCCGCATATTATCATGGGTTGCACCTAATTGGCCAAGCAAGGCCTAGTTTCCACTTCTGTTGGAAATGCTAGTCGAAGCACCAGCAGTGCTTCCGGACTTACTGGACATGATGTCCCAACCAGACGGCGCACTACCAACAAGCCCAGCAGGTATCACTTACACGCTTTCTACCTGTAGACTGGAGTCTATGGTGGGTATGAACTATGTGAATAGACGGGTTCGGAGAACCCTCGCCTAATTCACACATTGTATGGCTTATACAATAGTTCACACATTGTATGGCATGCACTGTAGCTCACACTTTGTATGGCATATACTATAGTTCACACATTGTATGGCTTATACTATAGTTCACACATTGTATGGCTTATACTATAGTTCACACATTGTATGGCATATACAATAGTTCACACATTGTATGGCAAACACTGTAGCTCACATATATGGCATGCACTGTAGCTCACACTTTGTATTGCATATACCATAGTTCACACATTGTATGGCTTATACTATAGTTCACACATTGTATGGCTTATACTATAGTTCACACATTGTATGGCTTATACTATAGTTCACACATTGTATGGTTTATACTATAGTTCACACATTGTATGGCTTATACTATAGTTCACACATTGTATGGCAAACACTGTAACTCACAAATATGGCACGCACTGTAGCTCACACTGTGTATGGCATATACCATAGTTCACACATTGTATGGCTTATACTATATTTCACACATTGTATGGCTTATACTATAGTTCACACATTGTATGGCTTATACTATAGTTCACACATTGTATGGCTTATACTATAGTTCACACATTATATGGCTTATACTATAGTTCACACATTGTATGGCTTATACTATAGTTCACACATTGTATGGCAAACACTGTAGCTCACATATATGGCACGCTCTGTAGCTTACACTTTGTATGGCATATACCATAGTTCACACATTGTATGGCTTATACTATAGTTCACACATTGTATGGCTTATACTATAGTTCACACATTGTATGGCTTATACTATAGTTCACACATTGTATGGCTTATACTATAGTTCACACACTGTATGGCTTATACTATAGTTCACACATTGTATGGCTTATACTATAGTTCACACATTGTATGGCTTATACTATAGTTCACACACTGTATGGCTTATACTATAGTTCACACATTGTATGGCTTATACCATAATTCACACATTGTATGGCTTATACTATAGTTTCACACATTGTATGGCTTATACCATAGTTCACACATTGTATGGCTTATACCATAGTTCACACATTGTATGGCTTATACTATAGTTCACACATTGTATGGCTTATACTATAGTTCACACATTGTATGGCTTATACCATAATTCACACATTGTATGGCTTATACTATAGTTCACACATTGTATGGCTTATACTATAGTTCACACATAGTATGGCTTATACTATAGTTTCACACATTGTATGGCTTATACTATAGTTCACACACTGTATGGCTTATACTATAGTATACATTGTATGGCAAACATGGTTCACATGTTGAACACCATAGTTCACACATTGTATAGCATACATGGTTCACATGTTGAACACCATAGTTCACACATTGTATAGCATACAACCATAGTTCACACATTTTACGGCAAATAACATGGTTCACATGTTGTACACCATAGTTCACACATTGTATGGTATACACCATAGGTCACACATTGTATGGCATAAACCATGATAGTTCACACATTGTATGATACACACTGTAGCTCACACATTTTATGGCATACACCATAGTTCACCATATTATGCAATGATTATGTTTTTCAGGGAATATACAGACATGTTAATGTGCTTGAATAATTAACATACATCATAGTTCACACATTCTATGGCATATGCCACTATTGACACATTGGACAGTATATATCATATTTCATACTTTGTATGGCATATTTCATTGTTCACACATTTTGCCAAATACACTATATTTCACACATTATATGTCCAAGACATATGTACCCATTCCACTTTCCTTAATTTGACATTCCAGAATATCTGCCTTCCATAATATTTGCATCACATTCCAAAAACTGTTTATGCATTAAAAATGGCAACAATACAGCTCCTGATGGAAATAGAATCCATCACTGAACACACACACAAGCAAACATTTTGACATTAAATTATTAATACAAGGGGAAAAGTATTAAAAATAAAGTTATCATGAGAACACTGCAAAGTTTGCATGCAGGCAATATGGGATTGCATCATCAATTAGTATACAACTTTACAGTAATCATGTATTATTATCAGTTAAAGTATTACGATATTATTATTATTTTATGTACTTTGCTTTATAGACAATTGAAGAAAAGTACATTTCACATATTCTGAGAGATCACAAGAACATTATGCAAGCCTTTCAGGTAAGGTACTTCTCAGCATACTCAAATCCATATTTAGACATTTGAACATTTTGTGATATCATTCATGTTGCTATTGTATGTGTATGTTTGTGTTCACTTATGTCTTGAAAATTGAGACTATTAATGGAATTAAAGATTTACAATTAAAATGTGTAGTTTTTACAGGATTTTAAGCACATTCCATGCCATGTAATGCATGATTGTGTTATATGTAGTGAAAACTAATATCATAATTATAATACTTTTCGAGTGATATCATAATCTAGCTCTTAATCCATTATAAGTGGTTTATGAATCCCCTACTGATAATATACCTATGAGCTGACATAATCTCGTAATGCATTAAAATTGGGTCATGCATTTATTATGTTTTTCTGTGAATCAACATAATCTCCTTTAATCCATTATAAGTGGTTTATGGATCCCTTACTGACAATATAACTATGAGATGACATAATCTCATAATGCATTAAAATTGGGTCATGAATCAACATAAATTCCCCTAATCCTAAGTGGTTTGTGAATCCCTTGAGGTTACCTGTGAGCTAGTATAATCCATTAATCTATGTCACAAGTTATTAATATTTTTGTTCTCTGATATACAGATTCTTGAAGCTATTACTGAGCAGAGTGAGTGCAAGAGAATTTGTGAGGCGGTTTTACCAACTTTGACTAATAACTGCCACTCTACAGTGTTCTTATCTCAGTACATGTTATCAAATCTGTCAACACAATTAAATGCTGAACAAATAGAAGAACTACAATGTATTAATATGGGTGCTAAGGTGAGTACATATTCCTTCCATTAGCAAATGCTTCCATCACTTCATGAGTCTTGGCCACTTCATTGAATTCCATTTTACATCCAATACTGTATCATCAATGATAAGAAAATATGATGTTCAAATGACAATGTATGCACGAATGGCTGCTAATACAACTGCATGTTTGCCGTCATATTATTCATTTTCCTGGCCGTGCAGGAATACGGTTGGTCACATGTAGTTACAAATGGTATAAACTGATTGAGTTGAATCTATTGCATTCTGTAGGCCCTTCTGTGTCTTCCCAAAGACTTGATGATGAACTATGAAGATCTATTTTCAAAACCTCATCTTGTGATAGAACAACTGTTAATGAACATGAAGGTATGTCAAAATGCTCTCAGCCATTCACTACTGTAACATTGAATTCAATGAATGAATCAAATTGTGTGGCATATAAATATTGAATATCGGATTCAACACAGCATTTCAAGGTTGGCATGAAATCATTTTGTGGCATTTATGTATAATAACATTTTCAAATACTTTTATTTGCCGAATATTTTTCTAAAAACAAGAAACACACAAATATGATTGTAAATTGTACAATATTGCATGATGAAATAAAACATTTAGTGTAATAGATTACATTTAACTAAACATTGTCCCGAATTTGTCAACTCAGAATTACTCTCTCTTTATAGTGAGTTTATTTGTTGTCTCCTATACCAAACAATCAATAGAATGCAGAACTATTTGACAAATAATACCATTGTTAAAATCAATACTGTAAAGGGGGTAATTATTCACTGGGTTTTAATTTAGCTTATTTCGCTGACTGGAAAAATGCGCTAAATTAAAACACAGTGAATATGTAAAATTTAGCATAGAACACATTATCTAAATGACGAAACCGTGAATTTAAAATCCACTGAATATGCCCGAAATGGTAAATCAGTGAAATTTAAACCCAGTGAAAATTAGTCATTTTACAGTATGTGTTTCCTATTGTATTTGTTGTATGTATTTGAATTTCTATTATATTTATTGTCAGATTGAGTGTGCTGGGCGAGTGTTGGAGAGTTTACATCATGATATATCTGGTCCTCACTGTATGTCTTTGGAATGTACAATTGACTCATTGGATAAGTTAATATCCAAATATGCAGCCAAAGCGTTGGAAATACCAGCTATCAAGCAACAACAAGAAGGTATCTGCACACACATATATAAATATATAGTATTATATATTTTTTAAATTGTTACCAATTGATGTCATCTATATGCATATGTGGACCGCATTAATGATGTATCTTTCTAAAATCATGCCATGTTTCAAAATTAGGATAATTTGCCATACTAGAATTGCTAAATGTAATATTAAAAATGTTGTGATAAATATCATATACTCAGTTCTCTAAATGTATGTAATAGTAACGATGAGTTTTATTACCATTTTGTATTGCACTTATTGTGTAAGATATTCATATTTTTTGTGGTGTTTTGTAAAGGTTCATGCTCTGATTATAAAATTGTCAAATTGTGAAAAAATTATTAATCATTCTCTTAATCCTCAATCAATTACAGTATTCAATCAGTATATAGAATTTGATGACCAATCAGCATACAGGATTACCAATACTGATAATCAATCAGCATACAATTTTATTTTCCAAGCAGTTCTAATAACCAATCAGCATACAAAATGTGACAATTCAGTCGCAAATAACCAATTATGAAATCACCAATTTTAATAACCAATCAACACACATAATTTCCAATTTGAATAACATTGCAGTCAGCATCCAGGACGTCTATCTCAATTCCCAATAGCCAATTATTATATCAGTCTGACTTTATTATAAATGGCTTTTTAATTGACAGGAATAGTTTAGTAACAAAAACAGTACAAATTACGTTTATGTAACTAATGACATTTTGCTGTTCTCAGAGCAAGATAGTGGTCTGAATCGGAGTGCAACGGCAACATCATTGTCTGGTATGAGTACATTAGAGCAATCCATGGCCATATCATGTACACCATCCTCACCACCACCAAGCTTATCATCTACACCTATTATAAATGTATCTACGCCTAAGCCAATAAGGAAAGGAAGTCAAACTTCTGATAAAGGTAAACCATCATTGCATCTATTGATTTAATGGGAATACTCATATATGCAAATTTACTCACTGGAATAACTTTACAATGGGAAACAAAATATAGATCATTTACCATACAATCAATTGTGTTTCATATTTTCATGGTGCAATCTTAGTATTGTTGACAGGTTAAATTTATACCCTCATTATAGAGAAATTATAAACAGCAAAGATGTCTACGCATAACATTCACAGTTTAGAGTCATTGTAATGTAAAATATGGTAAGATAAAGTCACTATATTCACATTAAACATTGTCTAATTAGTCCACATTTGGATGCAGACCACAAATGGTGATAATTTTTTTTTTTTTTTTAAATTAATGAATGCAGTTCTAGAGCCATATCTCTGACATGCTTCAAATTTTATATATTTATTATACATCATGTTATAGATATATAGATATATTCAAAATGGCTGATCGGTGCCCATTTTGTTACCATGCCTGTATCATCCAAGATGAAAGGAAATGTGTATTAAAGAAAAAGTCTTTCATCGTTGTCATCATTATTTATTGTTAATGTGTACACAATTACTTGACTAATTCATTTCCAAACTTTATTAAACTTGGTCACCTAATTCTTCAGTATAAAATCTTCCTTTAGTGCGAATGACAGATGTCCTGTGTAAAAACATCAGTCAAAATTTGAAAAAAAAATTTAACTTTTTCAATTTGACTGATTACTGGTGATACACATTCAGAGGTTATTGGTCCCAGAGGGAATATGCATTGCTGTATGTGTTCAGTGAAGTAATTCATTTATCTTGTAATAATATCATTGGTAATCTATCTCTCAAATCCCATGGGAATACTAGACTGGGTTTTAATGTCTAGACTGGGTTTCAATGTCAACTCACACAGAGAATTGCACAGTCTAATACACATTTGCAAACATACATGTACCAATAAAATACACAAACAAACAAGATGTCAGATAATTGATATAAGCACTTCTATGGATAACCGTTTGAGTGCCAAACTTTTGATCAAGATCTAAAACCAGTAGAAATTTATGTCTTTTTAGTCCAAAGTTATGAAAACAAATATAAGGCAAAAATACATACCGGGTAACAGGCAAAACATTGCATCCATATTTTGAAAGAAAAATTTTACTCAAAATAGTGATTCTGTTTTTGACATGCAGTTCATTCGACAAAACTTTTTTTTTTGAAGTATATAAATTTTAAAAATTAAAATTCACAGAAATAATACACACTTCAAAGACAAAGATTGCAGTGTTTAGAGATGTAAATTTTTAGAAGGCAAAGAGTACTGTTGACTTCTTTTTCCAATGAACACCAACTATCTTTAGAAACATAGTACATACTTCAAGGCTGAATTGATTAGCATACAAAGCAGAGCTTGCAACATGTTAGTTATTCCTAGAGGGCGTTTTTTACTTTTCAAATAATACAGTCATTGCACAAATGGGCAAAATCCAGATAAGATTTTCTGTTATTTTGCATTTTTACTGATTCTGTTCAGGTCTAAATGCAGCACTTTTTTTCTGAGATGAGGCATTTCTTTTTATACTAAAATATCTGATTTAAAACGGGAAATTATGTCCCTTAAAATATCAGCATTACGTTGGTTACAGCAAGGAGTCCTCCAGGTTCCATTGATGGCAGACTTAGTCCTACGGGATCAATGAGTAGACAGAGCAGTGGGGGTAATAGTCCTACAAATGTGAAGAAATCAACATGTGTGCCACATTCTGCTGGTAAACCACAAAAGTCTGTATTGTCCCTACCAATGGTTCCACCAAAAAGAGATGAGTGGGTGTCTGACAGTGCTGTTATTCACTGTATGGCTTGTAAGGTAGAGAAGTTTAGTATGGTAAGTAAATTTTACACTATTTTGCATATACAGCACAATTATAGTAGCGTTCACGCACAGCTCCTTAGCACGGGCTAAAAGGTCAAATACCTTAGCCCTGTGCTAAGAAAATGTGTGTGAACGCTTAGCACAGGCTAAGAAGTGCTATTGTTTTATAACCATAACACTGTTATGTATACCTTCCTAGTTACTGTGCTAGTAATCATAGTGAAAATGACTAAAGATTTTTCTATATTCTTAACAAGTTTAGGTGTTCCTTAGCCCGTGCTAACCGCTGTTTCCTCCTGTGCATGAACGCAATTGGGTCTATCCGATATGCCAAACATATTAGAAGTAAATCTCTGTCCTGTCAATACATTGTATTTGTTATCCCAGTAATCTGTATCAACAAACTTCAAGGAGCATTATCAAAATTCATAGCAAAAATTTATGTTTTGGTGTAGTATAGTGTTTCCCAGTAATTTACCTTTTGTACATGTGAAACTACTTTAAAATTATGTCTTTTTTTGATTTTGTTGCAGTGTATCTGTTTTGAAAAATATTAAGTAAAATAAATTAAAAGCAAAACAATATTCACACAATATTTTTGTATAAATCAGATCTACTGAAATATAAAAGCGTCTTTAAGGCGAACACCCACATTCATCCAACGTAGATATGATATTCGTTTCAGAAGTATTAATGCAGATAATTGTCAGTTTTATGTCTTTTTCAGTTTAATCGACGCCATCACTGTCGACGATGTGGCAGAGTTGTTTGTGCCACGTGTTCTGAAAGACGTTCAATTGTTCTCGGTTATGGTGATATACCTGTTAGAATATGTGATGATTGTTATAATGCCTTTGTCACTAATAAGTAAGTACAACTATTAAGTCATGCAATGTTTATATCAATATGATATGCTTTTATCACATCAATTTTCAAATGTTTAGTTGTGTTTTCTCTTCATGGAAAATTTGAACTTGGACCACTTTATATCAGTCTAAATTATGAAATCAAATTGACCATGTTTTATGTTTTAGAAAAGATTAAATTTAATGAAAATTACTCTGTCACAATTGCTATATAAAGCGTTTTCCCTATATGTACTACTGGCATGTCACTGACTGCACACATATTTGAGATGAGAGTACATGTACCAATGTACCAGTTGACATTGAGCCAACATTTTCTCAAAATTAATATTTCAACCCCAACTTGTTAAATCAATATTTCATTGTACAACAGTGATACATAAATAAGTAAAAATTGGCCAATTTGTGTACCCATGCAAATTTCACTTTAGTCCTAAAGTGATGAAGTCAACGTAACTTTTACAAAATGTTGTTCTCATGAACACCACTAAATCATAAAAAAATGGTTTACAATATGGCATGGTGTTTTTATTAGGTCTGAACATGGAGTGGCAGCACATTTATTGGATCGGAAACTGAAGGAAAGATTATCAGGTATTCTGATTTTAATAATAATTTATTATCTTTATGTACTGTGTTTAAAGTGGGGGAGTCATCACCTGCGCATGCGTCAGATAGCCATAGCATGTTATTGTTTACAAACAAACGTTTACCCATGAACCTTTGCGTTTTTAGCACGTGTTGTTATCATCACTTGGGACTAAATTCACGCGTGTGGACAGGTGACGACCCTCTCACTTTAATATATTATGTTATCAATTCATGATTCAGTTTTATTGATTACTGATAAATAAATAAATGAATTTACTTTATAGATGTTTCACAGCATGCTCATAGTCCTAAAACACCATCCAATATTTCCAGCCATGATAGTAGTATAACACCCCCGATTGAGACAATAATGGAATTACCAGAACCACAAGACTCTGTACCGTATGGAAATATGGAAATATTGAAACTAACAACTGATGAAATGTACAATGCTACTATCAGAGATGATTTTTATTATGAACAGGTATTTTCACATTACACTAGCATTAAAATTTCCTGATATGTATATTGTGTCTGTGCCAAAACATATTCTATGCATTTACAATGTACCATGTATGTGGTAACAGTGACTGTTATCTTGTGCTAATATACTAGCGTTTGTTTGTATGCATGCATGCATGCTTCCACCTCGTCCTACATACATACTATTATTACATGCACAAGCCAAATTATTCCTTGCGTCATGAACATAAAATACAGCTTTTATTCTCCAGTCTCTCTTACTATATCAAGATTGAACTATTTCTACTAAGTTAGAGTTCTTAAAATAAACAAAATAAATGGTTTTTGCCTTTTTACATGGTGACAAAAATTAGAAAACATTTTGATAGAAACTATTTTCAATAAAAAAAATGTATACATGTATTAGCATAGTGAGTCATCACTTTACTGAAACATTGCATTCAATCTTCAGAAATGCAGCATGTGTCAGCTGAGGAAGTATAAAATATTAGAAAATGTATAATATATATATTTTTTCAGGCACCAAGTACTTCTCTTTGTATGTCCATATTGGATCTCCATAGCAACCCTTTGGCATGTGCTCAACAAATTCTTGTATTTTGTCATGATGTTTCTGAATATTTAAAACCTATCAAGCCTGGTATACCCAATCCTGAAGTGGATTATAATCTTGTTATCAGGTAATAAATGTGTTTCTTTTCATGTTAGATAAATTTTGTTGAATTTGTCTTTGAAATCCACAAACATTTTTAAAAGTTATCGTTTTATTTTGTAATTATTCATCATTTTGTTTTCGATGTTGTTCAGTTTATTTTGTTCTGCTCACATTAGCTTTTGTTTAGCTGTCACATTATGTATTTTCATTTTCTGGCATTGTTTTGAAATTTACTACCATGCTCTGCAGCAGCTGATTGAATCTTCTTTTTCATTATTTTTATTTTTGAATGTATTGTTGAAATTGTCATAGTTTAATTAATATTGTACATTGGATGTATGCAATGTGTCCTAGATGTCACTTAATCTAATTAACACCTTGATTTTTGGTTTCAGTATGATTCAGACACTGCTGATGAATGCTAAACTAAAATTTATGAAGAGTGGTGAGAGTTCTGGTGTTGCAATGTGTGATACATATCTCAGTAGAGTGGATATATTGACTATGATGTTATCATCCAACTACCAAGATATTCCTACCATTGAAGAAATTACAAAAGCTGATTCTGCAAGGTATAGTACTAAATTTCTGTATTAGTCTATACCACTTTAGTTTCATTAAATGAAAAAACCTAAAAAATGTTTTTTTT